GGTGGGGTAGAGGTTACAGAAGGCAACCAGTTCAAATGACTGTTACATCAAAATTTGAGTGGGAGAGGTGAAGTCATGTTTTGAACATCTTTTTTCTGATCAATAATCAGTCTGTAAGATACTGATATGTGATGCAATTTGCATACAATGTGTCTAAATGTAACCAACATAACATCAACATTCACTGCTCAAAGTGTCATTAAATACATGAGAAGATTTCTCCCAAAATTTATTTCAATATAGCTCTCAATATTTTAGATGATTTGCAGATAAAATGTGTGGTTAAGGCACAAAAAATAATTTGAAAACCCAGCAACTCTACTTATTGTCTTTGAAGAAAACAACTAAATAAGCTTTTACTTTCCAATAGTAAAAAAGCAGTGATTAAAACATGTATGAGTATAAATARTTGCAGTGTTTGTAGAGTTCATGCCCTCACCCAGCTATGATGAAACTGTTCATGACAACACTTATAAAATGACCAGTCAGGAAATTTGAAAACAGTGTCAAAAGGAGCACATTGAGTTATGGGTGTATTTCATCAATGATCTCTGTCTATGTATGTCTTTTCAATTTTGTTCTATTTTTTTGGTGTCTTTTCACCCCCTGTTCATTTGTCATCTTGTAAACTGAGAAGAAAGTTTCATCTTAATAGTATGCACAAACATGGTGATGTCATTTTAGGTGGACATTTTTGAAGTTCACTACACCTCTGTCTTCTCTGAACTAACGTTTACTTCGAAACCAAACAAACACATCTGCCATGGGTAAGTGACACACTTGTGTAGTCAAACAGCCGTATGGGTAACTGATGGCAGCGTGTTTTACAGTGTGACAAGTTTTAGTGTTTAATTGTCTAATTTTATGTTCAAGCTTTGACCCACCAGGCTTCAGACATGCCATGACTATGGCGTTTGCTGTTGAGATCAACAAAAACCCACATCTGCTGCCTAATGTGACCCTAGGATATAGTCTTCATGATAGCTGTGCCACTTTAGTAATTGGATTTAGTGCTGCATTGTCATTGGCCAGTGGTCAAGAGTTCCTTCTTCAGAATACATGCCTTGGCAGCCCTCCAGTCCTGGGGATTGTGGGTGATTCCTTCTAGACATTTTCTATTGGCTCCTCTGATGTATTAGGTTTATTCAGACTGCCCATTGTAAGTGGCCTCTCTATTTTAGGTCTACAGCAGAAAATGTACAATATATTTTACACTTTAATGAAGATCTTTACTTGTCTGTATAGGTCAGTTACTTTGCAACATGTTCCTGCCTGACCGATCGCCAAAGGTTTCCATCTTTCTTCAGAACAATCCCAAATGATGCTTTCTAGGCGAGACTTCTGTTGTTTGTTTTTTTTAAGTTTAACAGAAAAGTACATGTCTGTAAAATCCTATTAGCCAAAATGTAATTAACAAATTTATGATCACAAGCTGCCTGGATTCAATAGAGTAAAGTGTGGAAAATGTTATAAAAAAAAACTTTCAAAAAATAGATCTTTGATTTTGTTTTCTCTAATCTGAATCAATGTAGGTGCATGCATTGATACAGATTTTAAAAC